GGGGGTCTCTCGATCTCGAGTGTCCCAGGAGAAGTTGGCCGCTTGAGTCTCCTCGAATCGGATGTAATGTGCAGCTCTGTCGAGGAAGTCTTGTAGAGAGGCTGGTCGGTGTATGGCCACAACTTCGTAGAACTTGGAGTCTCGGCGTAGGCCTTGCTCCATCAAGTAACATTTCATCTCGTCCGATGTTGTTACCTGTACTGCCTCTCGTGTGAACCTTTCGATGTGCTTCCGAAGGGGCTCGTCAGGGCCCTGGATTATAGCGCCCAGCGCGGCTTCAGTCTTCAGATGGCAACAGGATGCCGTGAAGTGTCTCGAAAAGATGTCCTTCAAGACCCTCCACGACGTGACCGATTCGGGCTCCAGGCTTTTGTACCATGTCATGGCACCTTTCCTCAGTGTTGTCGGAAATAGTCTGCATTTCATAGTTCCTCGCACATTTCGGTAGTCTAGCATGGCCTCGATGTCTTCCAGGTGATCGTCTAGGTCGGAGGTGTCGTCGTACGTCGAGAGTGCCGGGGGGTTTTTCCATCCCGTGGGGAATGAGAACAGCCATGATCTCTCGGGATAAGGGGGTCTTGTAGTTGTCCTCGTCACTGAGAGTTGGTGATCGAGGGGGTGATGGCCCTGGTGCAGAGGTGCTTGATTTCGCGCCCTCGGCCTCCTGACCGGGGGTTCGACCCTCGGGGGTCTGGTCGGGGGATCCCCTCTGGTCGGCCATTGCTCCCGGACTTGTCTCGTCGGGGACCTAGTCCGCTCACGCACTACTTCGGGTTAGGGCCTCTCCATCCGGGGTCGCCGACTCCTGGGACGAGGCGATGGACTCCTCAAATTCCCGTTCTGGTCTTCCCGCGGAGGGGACCTTGGCGGGACTTCGTGCTCTAGTGCGCCAATTCGTGTGTTTTGTTGGAACAACAACTGATTTGTTTGGTTGATGGCCGCGAAGAGGGCAGCTACTATCGGGTCCGCTCCGGCCGGGACATGGATGGGTTGGAACGCTGCTGGGCTCCTTGGTCAGAGAACTGTCTGGTGTGCAGCTTCTGCGGACGAGGGAGAGGCAGTATGGTCGTCCCTCTCGTCGGTCTCCGGAGGTTGGGACGTCTCCGTTTGCTTGCCGCCATTCGCGGCGGGAGCGAGGATGAGGTCGTAAACAACATCGTCGTGGTGTGGGTTAGCCATGATCGCGGAATGTTGATGAAACTTTGGTTCTCTACTCGGAGGAACGGGGAAGTTTTATGTTCCCACAGACAGCGCCACTGATCTGACCTGATCAGAAGGGGATCACTGGCTGCCACGCGTCTTCGACTGATTACATATTCGCCAGTGTTGAAGAAGATGAGGGGGTGTACCTGCAAGGCACTCAGATGCTAAAGTAAGCGTATGGGCAGAATGATCACAAGTACAGAAAAATGGGTAAGAAGAGATTACCTGGCCCTCTTATGAAAAAGGGTATTTATAGAGAGACCCCAACGCATGGCCAACGGTCATTTGAGTTGGGATGGATGACAAGGCCCAACCCAAGTGACTACTAGGGCTTACGTGGCGTAGTGAAGACCAGAACGTGGTCTTCGCCCTAGTTCAACTGTCCCGTGATCTCCGAAAAGTGGGTTTGACCTGCTCTTTCGGAGGTGGGCAATTGGTTGGTGATGTGCCCCCGCGGAGGGGAGCACGTGTGAAGAACACGTTGTCCTGCCTAACAAGGGAGCAGGTTCTGCCCGACGGGGACAGTGTCTGGTCGACGGGGGAGTCTTGCGCTCAACACAGCTGAGGAAGGTTCTGCCCGTGGAGGGACATTACCTGTCCGTCGAGGACCCTGTGCTCGACGGCTGCGACCCAAATCGGATTGGACTTGACAGAATATTATTGGGTTGGGCCTGCCCGGTAAAGCCGGGGCCCAGGCCAGAACAAAATATATCAATGAAATAAAATGAAAATATATGAGTCATATTAAAAATCACAATACAAGGAATACAAAATTTAGAACAATTTAGCTTCAACCAATATAAGGAAGAACCATGAATAGTTTTAAGGTGGTGAAATTTTGCACGAAGATGAAAAACGTAAGTAGTGGCGGCAGGGTTGAGAAAATAATAATTCTAAACATTCTTCTCCACAATCACCTTTTCTCTCACCTACTCATTTACACTACTCATTTATTTAAAGAAATACTATTAAACATGCAGTAAGATACTGCACAACTATAAAATAATGAATTTGTAGTATGCATACTTCTTTCCGTTCTTAGATAATCGATCAAATATGATACTGCACAACCAAAAAATAATGAATCTAAAAGTTTAGAGAGGAAATTAAAAGTCTCACTATAACAACTTTTGTGTTAATGCAAGGTATTCATAAAAAATAAATACTCCATTTGCAAATAAATTATTGCTCCTCGTAACAACCCTTATTAACTTTGTGGATTAAACTCTATCTGTAAACCAAATTAAAAAACTTGCGAATCGGCCACCTTTAAGTACACTACCAAAATCACTACATACACAAAATGAGCATTTGATCCCCATGTTAGACTACAAATCATAATTCATATTATTACATGAACATTAACCAACAATTTCACAAAGAGAAGAATAAATGATATGTACCAACCTTGAACACATCACCTTTATCTAATGCTCTTGAATATATGTTCTTTCTAACCTTTATCCTCACAATCCCAAATGAAAGATTAAAACTTCATAAAAACATAAAACTTTCAAAGTTGTAAAAATCATTGCCATATAAATAGAAGAAAAATCTAGATCTATCAAAGTTGGAGGAAGAAAACCTTACCTACACTTGGATGAAGAAGATGAACACTTTCCTCCATGACAAACCTGTCCAAAAAATCAATCAAGAAAATAATGAGTCAAAGAAATATAAGATGAGTGACATAGAACAAAGTAAACACCATGGCCTAAACCGTTAAACTCCATAAGTTGTCGGTTCGACAATACATCGTGCTTGTATCACCACCATTTCAGTCGTAGTGTGGCAAGATTGTTGGTAAAACACAACAACCATTTCAAATCCGACCACCACCACATTCGCTGCCGGAAAAGCGTTGTTGTTACCACAAATCTACCATCGCGAATGCTTACTGCTAGTAAATAAAATTTATTTTGAAAGCAAAACCAAATAAAGAGAATACAAAGTAAAAGAAATATGAAATCCATGTCTAAATAGTAAAAAAATTCTACTAAATCTTAGTAAAATGAATACCTCTTTTCCGTCATTGATTACTAAATCTAAATATGTAATAGAGATACATATTTGCTTATACCCAGTGAAAGCAAACTACATGAGTATATGCATCGTAAAAAAACAATTATCAAACTCATTTAAATTTAGTAACTTAAAGCTTAAAAGAAATTTGTCATTAAAAGAAATCTTTGTTTTTGTGGTTTGAATTGCAACAAAAATATTAGTTCCAACAGTCAAACAATTTATCATCCTCATCGTGCAACATTCATTCAAATTAAATACATGCATTTCATCATATAGTTAGCGGGGCTTCTAAATCAGACAAACACACAGTCTAACACATAAAAAGTTACAGTATATGAAAGTTATAGACTCATATAAATTGTCAAAACGATGACAACAAGTTTTAACAGATCTTTCCACTTTTTTCAGCTTTAAATCATATACATACTTACTCCAAAATAAGAGTAAAAACTTAGATTCACATAATCAAATTATAGATATAACTTCTTAGATAATCAAAAATCAGAAAACACAAACAAAATAAAACCAAAAACGATATTGTTACGGTGTAACTTACCCATTGACTATCACTTCCAAATTTGATTGTTTCGATTTCAGATTCGTCGAAAGCTGTTTCAAATCACATTAAATCTTGGAAAATATATTAAAGTTAGTAAGAAGAAAAAAAAGAGAAAATTGTTTTGATAAACCCTAACATGCAATTCGAATGGTTATTTTTTTGGTTATTTGAAAGGTCGTAAGAGAGAATGATAAAAGAGGGTGTGTGAGACTTAAATAGTAAATGAGTGGAGAGAAAAGAAAGACGAAGAAGATGAAGTAGTAGAGCATAAATGAAGCGGTGGAGAGAAAGTGAGCAGGAAGTGTTATGGCAGAAGTATTTTGCGTGGAGTTCGAAACAAAAAGACTCTCTTGATATATAATAACTCAGAAAACACCTACTGAGAAGACATATGAGAATGCAAATGTTCAAAAATAATATTAATAAATTGCTTTAGGCGGTAACTAAATAGAAAAGCAAAAAGTAAAGCTTGCAGAACATTAATTGATATTCAAAAACATGGTGTTTTGATTGGAAATTAAAATAATTTAATAGAAATAATTGGGATGAAAAAGAATATATATAATCAAGCGATGAAATGTGAATTAGAAGATAACGTGAAACATAAAATGTTCTTATATATGATAGATTATAAAATTCAAATAAGCTAATGAGAAGTTTTGTGGGTATAGATTCTACCCTAACAACAAAAATCAATTTAAAAAATAGGAAAAAGTGATTTGAAATCAAAATCCAAATCCAAATCAATTTTAACAAACCCAATTTCAAACCATTTTTACACAAACCCTGTTTCTTAAATTAGTTTTGGATTTGAATACAGATTCAATATAGTTTTAGATATGGATACAGATTCAATAATAAAACCGGTTGTTTTCACACCCTAAAAAGTGTGACGCAAACCATTTGGAATCCGAAAACCCGCCGCTCACTTGCCTCAGTCACAGAAACCAGTCACCCGCCGCTCCATCGCCAGTAAACCGCCGCTTGTAGCAGTACGCCGCCTCAGTTGACTGTTGCAGAGTCGCAGCAGATATTTCCTTTAGGTTAACTTCCTCTGTTTTATACGTTTATCCTAATCCCATACTCTGTTATTTCTTCTATTGTATGCATATCACATTTTTTAGTAAACTCTATTAAACTGCTTAAGAATATAGGGTTTTGATTATGACGATTTGATGCGATTATATATATTTAGGGTTTCAGCGTTACAGTAATGCCTCGAAAGCCGAGAAGGCATCAACAGCTCAAATCTTGGCCGATTACATTTTCCCCTTTTGCTCGTGCTCTTGCTCATACGATGCCGAAGCGTCGTTCCGAATCCGATGAGAACCCCACCCCTTCCTCTGCTAGTACGATACTTTTTTCCGTTTTATAGTTTGAATCTTAATGAATCGTGTGAATACATGCTTTTTAAGTTGTTTTTTTTTTTTTTTTTTTTTATGTTTTCCACTCTGAATGTGTATTTATGATCCACTTCATAGGTAATGGATCCACCAAGCATCCTTTAGAAGAGAGATTGGAAGGATCCGAGTCATCTGATGGGGAGTTTGAGGTAAAAACTTATTGTTCTATGATTTGATAGATAATGATTTTCATTTTCATGATCACTAGTGTTATTATATTATGAATTGTTTAAAATTTTCATAATTGTATTTTTGAAAGAGTAAAATTGAGTAATATGAGGTTTCTGTTGTTTAAGGGAGTTGTCCAAGCGGATTTTGCGTTTTTTGATCCTAAATCCAATGATTTCCATGGAGTTAAGACCTTGCTGCAAACTTACCTGGATGTTGAGGAATGGGATTTGAGTGGCTTTGTAGACTTAATTTTGGAACAGACCACTGTAGGGACTGTTGTGAAGGTAGAGGATGATGAGGACGAAGGGATTTTTGCTCTTGCTACCTCTCTTAATCTATGGAGGTATAGGGTAAGTCATATGGTATCACATATGATGTTTTGCATGATCTGTTTTCCTTTTTCTCTTATTTTTTTACTACCTATGTTTGGTATTAGCCAAAAGTCACGGTGTGACTGTGCGGTAGGTAGAAGCTAGCATTAACAGCTTCAGAAAAACAGTGTAAAGAGCACTAAACATAAGGTAGCGGTAACTCACCGTGTGGCAAAATACACTAACACACAATGTGTGATTGTGTGGTAACCTTGATATCACTGATTTACTTTTCTTCTTTGTGTTTGTTCCTATCGTTCTTTGATGGACATCTCATTTTAAATACAAAGAAAACTGATGATTTTTTTTTATATATATCCATTTCACCGTTATGCAATTTTACTATTTAGAAAGTTGTTGCAGAAAGCTCCCTCACCAAAACAGTAGTCATTCATGTATTTTGATGATCAAGAAAAATTTGTATATTAAATTTTGTTCAATGAACCTTAATCAACTCGGTCTTATTTCAATCTCCAATTTTTTGCTTTATTCTTTGGTTCATTGATTGGTGGCACCTCACAATTTGAGAATTTTGTTTATGACTGGTTTAACATCTTGACAGTCATAAGAACTTAACTAAGAGCTAGTTTGTTGTTTCCTCCATTAGTTGAAATTAACATCTACCCCTCAACTTGTTTAGAAGCTTTTTATCTAAATGATCTACGAACACATTAAAATTTATGAAGTTTTTTTTTGGGTGGTAAGTTTGGATCCAAATACATGCTTTATTTGAGAAACTCCTAGAAGCTTATCTAAATCGAGGCTAATAATTTTGCTAGGAGCATAGATGTATTATCCAACTCAAGGAATTTCTCCTCCATAAAGTATGCCAAGAGAAGCGCATTGCTGATCAGTTGAGATTACTTTTGGGGGAACAAGCACGAAATGTCGGTCTCCTTGTATCACAGCGTGTGGTGAACCTTCCTCCTCAGCTTTTACCGCATCTCTATGATTCTCTTTTTAATGAAGTGTCGTGGGCCACAGAAGATGAGGTTAGATGTTGATAATAACAGACGAGTGTGGTTGTTAAATGTTCTTCTGTTTGCCTCTTTGGGACTAATTCTCTATTTTGAACTTATATTGTCACGTTGCACACTTAACAGCCAACAGAGGATCTCCGAAATTCCTTCAAGTTTAAGCATTACATAATACTAAGCAAAATTTACAAGGTATTATGCTTCTGCAGCCTCTCTTTCGTATTTATTATCCTCTTTAATTATATTCCTAGCTTTTATGGTTAAGATCATTTTCTTCTGCTCCACTTTTGTGTTTTGTGATGTTTTACTTCATTCCTTGTTGTAAAAATATAGCACAAGAATGCAGAACTAAAAAGAAAACAGAGCGATGATAGTGATGAGGCGATAATATATGTTAAGCCCGAGGATGAAATTTTTCACAAGGTATGAATATCTTGGTGCCATCATTTTGAGTTATTGTCTCTGATTACTGACTGTTGTCTAAAAAACTTCCAGTTAAGCTCGTGGTCCTTCTGTTTTCCTTTGCGCACTCAGCAGCCTGCACCTCACGAGGCAAGTTATACGAGTCTTACATATTAATATACCATTATCGTTAAGTTTTTGTTAACCTGCTGAAATTTAATATGAAATGGGAAGAAATTTATTCGAGTTATAGTTTCTTGCTTAAATTTGATTTTGTAGAAGAGTAATAATCTCTCATCACCAATGATTCTGAACCAAACAATTTCTTTCTATTACAGCTAAAGAATTACAGATCGATGGGATTAATCATGGCCGTTGAGGCAGACAAAATTCCAGCATTTCGACAAGAATTAGGTTCTTTAATTAATGAAAGCTGAGGGCAACCATAAGGTAGTGTTTCTCAACAATTCATTAACATAATCTCATAACTTTCTGAAGCTATCTATGTATTTTAACTTTGTTTGATTTTTATTTTCCTGCAGGTGTTTGAGATGCCAAGTTTTGGGATTTTTTAATTTATTTTTGTGATCTTTTTTGTTCTGCAATGACAATTGACAAGATTTTGAAAATCACCTTTCCCTGTCATTACTTTCTACGTTCTTAAGTTTCTCAATTGTTAGATCCTTATGAAACATGCAAACTAGTTTATACTTTGATGAAAGTGGTTGAACTTAAGTTGTAAAATAATTGTAATTTATTTTTTATAAAGTAGTAGTAGCAGTATCATTCATCAATGCGGGGAAGGGGCAACAATGGTTGTGCCATCAACACTTTCAGTAAGTGTAAGCCTATTTCAGTTACACACTCCTCCCACCACTCCACCAAATAATTTCCCAACCACTAATTTCAACTCTACCCTTGTCGTACCTAAGATCCCAATTTTTTTTGCTGTCAATTCTACCCTTTTCATGTATTCTTAACAATCAGTAAGTTTGCAATTAGGTTTGTCTTTGTTTGGTTTGAGAAAACTAAACTGATTCAATTGGGATACTTTCTCTGTGCCATTCTTGTAAGTTCTCATCTTTATTGCTTTTGTTAATTTTTTGTTCAAGTTGATGTTTTCAATAATTACGTCCCAGTCCGACTATTATTAAATTATGTTGACTTGAGTTTCCCTCGAAGTATTCTATTCAATTTCATAGATTAAAGTCGAGTAACTTATAACTTGATCCTCTAAAATATCAAATAATTTATGTAAAATCGTTAATTTATGGCTTCCATCATGTTGAGTTGTTTGCTATATTTATTCATGGAGATCAAAGCAAGATTATAATGTAGTTGATGTTACTGAAGTTTTCTTTATTAGTCAATGTATAAAAGCTTATTTATCAAGTTTTCTTATGTACTTTTATCATATATGCAAATTGCTTACCCACCAATACATCTTGACTATTAGCAACCAATTAATTTCATCAATTGTAGATTCATAGACAATAGCTAATAGACTATACATTTTCGTCTTGTCACTAAACATTTACTTGATATTTTAATTCTTTTGAACCAATGAAATCAAATTAATCTGCTTTGTTGATGTCACTACAATGGTGTATGCTTCTGTGGTTATGTGATTCTGAACACTCATACTCATTTCCCTTCCTCAAGCACAAATCCCTGTTTATGCCAATATACAAGCTTTTTGCTGGAAAGAGTCAAACATTGCTTTAATAATAGTGGTCGAGTGACCAATAAGTTGGCTTAAATTTAGAAATCCATAACCTTTTTTTCAACATTTTTTTAGTGTTGTATCTTATATTCTTGCTTTACATGAGATTAAATCCAACGAGTGAATATTGTTTTTACATATTATAGATGTGGTCTTATATTGCACTATATATTGGAAATTAAAGGATGAGTGGGTAATTGGAAAAAAATGTTGGCCTTAAGTTGGGAGGAAATAAACACAAGAATGAGATAGTCTTTATATAGGTAAATTTGAAAAAAAATTACATTATAGGATATCAGTAGTAAATTATCTATTCATTAAAATAAAAGGATTTTTAAATTTAATGAATTTCTACTGCACCATCTGAAATTTTAAAAATGTTCTTAGATTTTAGAGATATATCTTCAGATGCACCAAAATTTAATTGAACGTTAAAATATTTCGGAGATGTATTTCTAGAATATTTTGGAAGTTAATATCGCGCCAGACTCTTCTCCTCCTACACCTTTCATTTTTTTTTCAAACACAACTCTTCTCATTCTCAATATTCTCCAACTTCACCAAATCAGATTTCATCAATAGGAGGCTCAAGGAAAAAACGAGCATCACCCATTTCATCATTCAACATCATCCAAATCATGAATTTCGAGTATGCTTTCCCAGTTTTTGGTAAATATTTGAATTTTAGTGTATACGAGTAGGAATCAATTGTTAGGGGTAGAAATGTGTAGAAACCATATGTAACATAGTTTAGAGTTAGTGTATATACTGTTTGTTGGCTCAGATGAACGATAGTTGTTTATTTTTCACAATGCAAGTAGCAGAGAACGTCATTGTTGCGACCTCTGAATCTCAGAAATTTCTGGAGATACATCTCATAAATTGTTCAACGTTTCATATACTTCGGGAATTTTCAGAGATGCATCTCTAGAATATTGTAAAAGGTTTTTTCGTAGTTATATCTTCGAAATCTTTATGCAGCCCATTTTGTTTATAATTTAATGTTCTTCTTTTGCGTTAACTAATGATATGCCTAATTTTACCTTACAGGCATAATAAATGACAGAGTAGATAGACTGAGACATGACAGGGTTTCCCAGCATGCATTAGTTCGGCGGGAGCGGTGCCAGCAGGTTTCGGAGTCAGCAGGTTCCTCTGGTCAGGCAGAGGCGTCTACTTCTAGGGATCGTGTTTCACCCAGGCCATTTCACCTCAAGCCACTCTAGCTTCTTTTTCTTCCCGTAGGAGACATGATTCACCATCTGACGCGTCACTTTCCCCATCCTCCCGCACGCGTCAGGATTCACCAGTGCCACCTCCTACGGGTACACTGCCACCTCTAGAGGGTGAGGCTGTTGAGGATGTCGAGCCACAAAATTTTGAAGGAGGTCCGTCTGATCTGTCATTACTTCCTCTTTATCTACACCACAATGCCAGACATATCTGAGACAGAGAGGTAACATTAGTTGAATTTTTTATTTTTTTATGCGTTAATTTTAATTTTAATTGCTATTCCGATATTATTTATTACTGACATTGATTATTTCTAAAAAATTATAGGTGTGTGATCCCTAAAAGTTTCTGAACCATGAGAGGAAGATTGCTGGCTTGCCTCAGCCTGATGAGGAGTCATTTCAATAGGTTCTAACCCTATCTGGGTTGAGTGACCTATGCATGACCAGCCACACTCTAGTCAACCACGGGATGCTTAATGCATTCGTGGAGATGTGGCATTCTAAAACGTCTTCTTTTCATCTCCCGTATGGTGAGATGTCTACCACACTGGACGATGTCTCATGTTTGTTACAATGATCAGGGGGGAAGTTCCTCGATCATGGTAGGATGACCAAAGACGAGGTAGTCGAGATGATGTTGGAGCATTTGAGGGTTGATTCAAGGAAGGCGATTGAGGAGGTGAATATAACCAGGGGTGCTCATGTTAGGTTTGAGTTCCTCAAAGAGAGATATATGAGGAAATCGTTGCTGCAGAGGTGGCTGATGGTGATGTTGAGTAGGTGGCGGTACACAGGGCCTGTGCTTAAAGGGCATATTTTCTTTTTTTGGTTGGCACCTACATTTTTGTGGATACGAGTGCCACCTATATTGACGTTGCATACCTCCGGTACTTCTTGGATCTCACTCGGATCCATGAGCACAATTGGGGAAAGGCTTTCCTGACCTATCTGTATTCGAAGTTGAGAGATGGATGTCGGTGGAAGACGAAGCAGGTCACAAGTAGCACGGCATTACTGGTGGTAATAATTTTTTATCCTTGAATGTTTTTTTTATCTTATCTTTTTCATTTCATATTTGTGAAACCATTGCCGATAAATCTTGATCCCTGAATGCTTTTTATTTTTATTTTCATTTCAGGCTTGGATCCTTCAGCACTTCCCGCGCATGGCTGGCTAGGTGAGTATGAATGAGTACACTGAGGACTGACCTTGTGCCTGTGCTTTTATCCCACTGAGAGGGAACTAGGTGGTCGAGCCTTTCAGAGTCTACCTTGACCGTTTGGTTGCTGAGGACATGCATTTTAACAACTATGTGGATCACTGTGAGACGCGACCATTTGACGATATATCACTATACTCCGGATGGCTGGACTGCGAATTGTGTATCACTGTTTCTCATTTGTTTGAGTGCGTCATGCGGCAGTTCGGGTACACCCAAATCATCCCTAGACACTTTGTTGTCTATGTTCCTCCTGCTTTGTCTCGTAGACAGATAGAAGAGATGTTTGTTGATTATGAGAGTCACTTGGTAATAGTGAAGGCTCGGGATACCATAGCGCCGAACGTTTGGAGCTATGTCGACAGATACATCAGGTGGTTCTTTAGGGTCTCACATCCGTACATGGTGCCGACTGCTCCAGGAGATCCGCCGAGACCAGCTCATCATGAGATTTTAGAGGAGCAGCGGGCTCAGTTAGATTATACTGAGGATGTATTACCTCGGTGTCATTGCATAGAGGAGATTGCGCGGGCAGACATCGACGGGGGTATTTTCTCTGAGGGATTTACAGTCAGGCGAGTCCTGGATGTCATGGTGGCGGAGGCACATGGGGCGCTGTTGTACCAGAGACATCGTCGGAGGACGGGGGATGGTTGATGGCAGAGGAGGCAAATAAGGTAGTTAAGAGATTGTCAGGCACACTCAATAGTAGCCTGTTATTATTTTGATGTAGTGCTATTGTTTGTACTTTATTTTTGACATTGTTACTATATTTTGGATCTCATGTTGTACGACATTTTACTATTTCATTGTTATATTATTTTAGATACACACAATATTAGTCTTTTATTAATTCGTACATCAAATTTTTCATCTGAAAACAAATACACATCTCATTATAAAAAAAAACTTGTTCTGATACACTTAGGAGATGTATCTTTGGAATATCACCAGAGATGCATCTCCGGAATAATTCAAATATAACTGGGTTATGAGTGACGTGTTTTGAATGTGTAAGATGATTCTGTAGATACATCTTTAGAATATGACAATGTTTGTTCAGAAATAGGGTGCGTCTGGAGATGTATCTCCGAAATCAGGGAGCATATTTAAAAATTCACATGGTGTGTTAGAAGTCGATAGAGCACAATAAGAAATTCTCTAAAATAAATACCACCAAACTTCTTAATATACCATTTTCATGTTAAAAAATTGTACTCGTAAAATGGTATATTTGTAATTAACAAATGCTACAAAAAT